TGATGTGTTGTGTTGTAGCTGCTTTATTTTATTTCTTAAGATTTGGATTTTATGCTGATCGATTTGATGCACATTTATTTGATGTTGATCGTTTCAACATTAATTGAATGTAGTCTTCGTCAACCTTATTTAAATTCATCATCATCATCATCATCATCAACATCATCAAATTCAACAAATAATTCTCAAACGTCACCTACAATTGGTATAAATGATAGTTGTTATCATCCACGTATTTATTCACGTTATGGTACAACTGGTTTAACAATAAAACCATGTCATCCTGATACATTATATTCATCAACAAATATTCTCAATGCATTATCAAAACTTTTACCAAATTCACTTTCATCATCAAATCTTTATTTAAAACCAATACCAGGTCTATTTGAAATAACACCATTAAATAATACAATGCATTCATCAAGTGATCGGACACGTCTTGAATGTGTTTATATGACACATTTATTAACATAACGTACATATGAAGCAACAAATGCACCACCACCTAATATTACGCTTACAACTAATTCACATCATCTTTATAATCCAACAAGATCAAATTCAATACCACCATCAATATCAAGATTTAATGCAACAAATCCATATCCATTTTCATTTCCAACAGCAAATATAAATGCATATCATGATAGACTTTATATGTTTGCCAACAAGAATAAATTCATCAGGAAGAATAAATGATAGAACATCAACAATTGCTTCATCATTTCCAACATCAACAACAACAATTGATAATCAAATAAATAATAATAATTTAATTAGTACATCACCATGGTTACCACATTTAGCATCAAAATTTAAAGATAAACAAAGTTTAGAAAAAGAAAAATTCAAATTAATTGCAAAAAAAAAATAAAGCAGCTACAACACAACACATCAATATTAAAAAAGAAATTCAAATTTATTTACTGATCTTTTACGTAACATCAAAATCAACGTTAACAACACAAAATCAGCAAATATTATCAACAAATCGTATATTAACAAATAATAAAAATCATATGGATGATGAAAATCTTGAACAACAACAAAAACAAATAATAACAATTGATGATATATTAACACAAATATCAAATAATATTCATCATGGATAATATTTACCATTATATCAATTTATAATTGATCGTTTCTAAGGTGGTGGTAGAAGGTTATTTTCTTTTAGATTTTCGACAACAACGTTACACTAACTGATATATTAATACCATCATGTCATCAATTAGCATCATTAAGTTTAGATTTTTTGTCATATGGTGAACATATTGATTGCCAACGTTTATTTTCTTCAACACCTATATAAAATCAACAATTTTTTTCTACATGATTTACAAGCAGCTATTATAGCACGTTATATACGTATTAGATTAATTGGACAATAAAATATATCGTCTATCATCAATACGTTTACAAGTTGAATATTTTTTTGGTTATCCATATATATTAAATAATTTGTTGTCGACATAATGCATTATTTGATATTAATGTTTCATATATACCTTCAATTGATTTTAATTTTTTTATATTTTTCATTCTTCTTATTATTATTATTGTTATTATCATCATTTAATATATTTGGCTAAACAAAAAAATTTTCAANTTCTTCAAATGATAATGTGTGTATTCAAGATGGTTTTTATTGATTAGATTAAGAGGGAATCTCTCTCTTCTCAGAAAAGTCAATTTCTCAAGAGAAACTCAATTTCGAGGCTTATACATATTGTGATAGTTCTTGCAATGGGCTTTTGAGCTCACATAACTTTTTTTTTATCAAAACAAGAAGGTTAGTTTTTTTTTCTCATGAGTTTTTTCGAGCATACAATTTGCGCGAGCACACCTTTCTCAGTCTACTTCTCTCATTCGAAAACTATTTTTCTAAATTCATTTCTTTCATCAATCGTTAAATTGAATAAAAAAACGATTGAAATTATTCTGCATCTAATAATTTTCATTGTTCATCTTCTATATTTTTATTATTCGTCATGTAATCTGAAAAAATATGTATGTTTTTTATTCCTATATATTCTAGTTTACAGCACGTTCATATGCCGTTATCAATAAGAAAAATAAGAAAAAAAAAAGAAAGAAACAGAACATATATAATTAATCAAGATAAATTTTCATGAAACGAATTAGTTTTTCTTGCTGTTTAGATAAAGAAGAATTATCATTTGTGTTTGCTTGTTCAAGATCATCAAGCCAATGAAGATGATTTAGAAATAATTCATCCATATATCTAATCAAAAATACGTAGAACCATATTTCATTTACAGTCGAAATACAATTTTGATTATTAAGACAAATTATGGTTGAGCGCATTTGTTCAGCTCTTTTTTTAGCTTCAAAAAATGTACAAGTTGAATCGAGTTCTGCTATTGCATCTAATATAAATTTTTCTTCAGCTAATGTTAAACAATCCCGAATACAATTCTGATATATAACAATTCGTTCATCAGGTGAATGTCGAAACAACATAGACGATGGATGATTGTCTGATGACTAAAAAATAAATTTAAAATAATTTCGATGTATTTGTTTTATATTTAAATTACCTGCTTGACTTCATTTATAGTTGTAAATCGACGAATTTTTCCATTTGACAGACTTTTATCCTCCAATTTCCGTTTTTTTTCATTCTGATCAATCATTGTTTTAATAACTTGTTGATCATTTTGTATTGATGATAATAATTGAATTGAATCTAAATAATTAATATTCTCATGATCAAATTAAAAAAAAAAATAATTTACTATTATTTTCGACGACATTTAAAATTGTTTCGTCATTATCTTTTTTATTTTCTTTTTTATTATCATCATCCAATTGAACTGTTAAAAAATCACATATTGTACGTTTAGTTATATCTTCCGCTCGTTTTAGTCTCTCAGAAACAGTTGAATAATTAATAACTTCTGATGCTTGTTTTATTGCTTCTTCGAATAATTCTAAATACTTTTCTCGTATTTTCATATCATATTGACTTGATTTATTTGTTACAGGAATCTATAAAATAATAAATAACAACAAAACAATAGATTAATCATTTTCATACTTCAGAAGCTTTTAATTCTATAATACGCTTTTGAAATTCAGCAGCACTTTCATATGGTTCTAGCCATTTAGGTTCAATTGCTCTATATCAAATAGAACATTTTATATCCATGTCATGAAAATCTATTACTTACAATTCATAACTAAATGTTCCAAATAAAAACACATTGTAGAAAGTACCGGTTGATTTATCAATTTTGTTTGATATAATACCGGGCCAATATGGATAATTTTTATGTTTACACCATACTATACTACCACGTTCTATATATATTTCAATTATAGAAATAAATAATATAATATGAACATTTTTATTCATTTACCGTATGTAGTTTGTGCTGATGAATGTTCTCCATTTGTTGATGATGAAGAAGATTTATTACTTGTACTAATATTTTTTGGACTAGTATCCATCTAGAAATGTATGATGGTTAGTAACACGATATTAGTTATTTAAAACGTAAAAGAAATGTTTGATATTCGAAAAAAAAGACTGTCAGTTGCAAGAGTGAAATACACATATAAATACATATATCTACTCTTTGTTCTCCACATAAAGATAATAAGTCCAAACAGGCTAGTCGAATTAGAACAAAATTAACAAATGTGGTTGATGTTTCTAAGCAGCAACACCAATCACATATCTTTATTTTGTTTTAATTCGACTAGTCTATTTGGAACCAATCTGTATAAAAACTAATCGATAAACCTTGCGTCATGATTAATAATAATGAAACTCTATGATTGACGAAAATGGATGGTAAGTGTAATTTAAAAACATGAGATTTGTTTATTATCATTAGTTTACATAGTTTTTTATTTGATATCATTGAGAAATATTGGTAACAGAGATGGGCACGGTTCGCATTTTTCGAAAAATAAACCGAACCGAAACCGAAAGATTTAACACCGAACCGATGACTTTTTTGGAAACTCTCGAACCGAACCGAAATTTAAAATAAGCTGAGAAATGCATTGAAAAACTGTTTTTCGATGGGCTCGGTTAGTGTTTATGCGAAACCGAACCGAACTGAAACCGAAATGTCTTAAATCGAACCGAACCAAAACCGAACCGTGCCAATCTCTGATTGGTAAAAGATATCGGCAGAAATATACGAGATAAATATATATTGACAATTTTCGATTATTTTTCTTATTAAAAAATGAAAATTCTTCTTAAACATATTATCGATATCTATTGTTTATTTTTTGTTTGATTTCATCATTAGATACCCAATCTTTTCTCTTTCCGATCGTGTGAAGTATGAAATGAGCCAAACATGTTAACTGAAGATCTATAATGATCAATCCATCTTTCATCTGATAAAACATTATGTATACACATTCTACATTTATTCCATGTTATTATTTCATTATATTTTGGAAATAATTACATATCAAGTGAATGAGAAAATATTTCTAAATCAAAGAAAATAAACTTTTAATAAAACCAAAATACAAAATAAAATATTAAATATTTACCCATTGATTTATTCCAAAATTTTACTTTTGCTTGTAATTCTTAGAAAGAAAAAAAAATGAGAGAAAATTATTTCAATAAAAAAATTTAATTTCTTATTCAGAAAAAATATAAAATTTTGTGATATACAACTACCAACGATAATTGGTGGATGATGACTAATCTAGACCTATATACAGAAAAGTATTTAATTTCCGAAGCCAAAAAAAACTTTTTTTGTTTATTCATCAATAAATTTCCATCATTTATCTTCTCGTATACATTCATATGTTTCACTTAATAATGGAATAAAATTTTTCGTCCTGTTTGATAATAATTTTATGAATATATTCATACAATAAATACAAAAAATATAAATAAAATGTAAATAAATATCATTTGTTTATGATGCATGATCAACTAAATCTGAATATTCCATTTCTTCAGATCATTTTTCTAATAAAACTAATGGTTCATTTAATATAACTAGCAATGCTACACGAGACAAAAATTCTTTTCTATAGCTTTATGGATTATATTCCATAAAACAATATTTGACTTATCTGGTGCACAAAATCGTAAAGATGAACGACGGCATTTTATTTGAGGTGGTTCTAAGAAAAAAAAACATAAACAGTGAAGTTTTAAAAAAATGAAATATAAAAATAAACATACTCAAAATGTCGTGGAATAGCTGATTGACGTGAAAGATCACTTGCATGACTTTCATCGTCACCACAATTTGATAATTCAAAATCCGACTTAAAAACAAATAATATTTTGCAATTCACAATGACTGTTATTCATGATTTTATGTATATCTAAAGTAGAAGATACTTACATTTTTTCTCCTAACAGTGACAGTAGGAAAGATAGAGAAGATTAAGGCAGAAAACATCATACAATAATGGATCTATACAATATATATGAGCCTAATCGACGATTAGAAAAATGAGAGATAGGAGCAGACAATACTAGTCTTTCGAATCCACAATTTTTGAATCCGAGTCCGAATTATACGCTTAATATTCTGTAAAGAAATTTTCTTATCTGAATCGAATCGTTGTTTCAAAGATATGAGATACTTTTTTTTCGATTATTTGTTTTCGACGTCTAACACATTTCTTGAAGCAATTTTTTTAAAACCACTTTATTGATTTATTATGGATATCCATTTATTAGATATCCCCATTTATTATGACGAGTTCGCCAAGTGGCGCTGACCATCTTATGAGAAATAGAGATGCCAGATTATATAAACTTGAACACTGATCAACGGGATCCGATCAACAGAGTACTCAAAAATAATCAACTGTTCGGAAAGAAAGTGCATATAACCGTAACGAATAACCTAACTAATGACAAATTCACATAAGTGATAGAAATAGATAATCCGAGAGTTCATATAAAAAACATAATAGCTTATCTGTGAGTTCAAAAAACTTGTAATTATTGAACTGTGGTGAAACTGAATTATCGATGAGAGACATTTGCTGCAGGATGATCGGTGTGGTCGGATGTTAATTGTTGGTTGCGATATTTCAATTGATGTTTATACTTCAGTAATATTTCGTTGATTTTATTATTAAATTTTTTAAAATTTTCTTGAGTATTTCGATCTTACGATGCTTGCAATACTATGCGACCTAGCTTCTGGATCGATCGAAGAATTACTTCATTGACAATATTTTTCAATTCTACTTGATCATTAGAATAGATCATTAGAATAGATAAAGTAACTTGAGAAATCGAACAACGTGTATATGAGAGAAACAATGCAGTACTAATAATTATAGATTTATTTCAAATGAAATGAAAAAACAACGTAGAATGTTTTATTTCTAAAGAAAGATTGATCATAGTGATTAATTTAAATCAGTGTTCTATTCGTAGATTTCAAACACTTCTTTCCTAATTACGTGCTTTTACTAGAAGATTACACAATTTTCAATAAATATACCCGCTCATATTCATAACTCCCTATTGTTTGTTGCTCTGGAAACGATATAGTTGATGTTTTTTTGCCAGTATGTGGTTACTATCATAGGAGTTGAAAAGTTTTAGAGCCTCAACTTAAACTTCGATTTACTGAATTAGTCGAAAATACTCGTCAGTGTCGAAAAAAATCGCAAAAATACGACAATCATAATACAAGACTTCCCCCCCCCCCCCCCCCCTAAAAAAAATTTTCCGCTTAAACATAATAGAAGATCCTGGGTCTTTTATTGTAAGAGGGGAGGGGTTATTTCCGTTCTTTTTTATAGCGCAAAAAGAGTTAATGTTTGAATAATTGTGTAGAAATTGACAAAATTTTAAAACTATTTATTGGATATTATAGAATGATTATCAATAAAAAAAATAGAAATATGTTAGGTGATGAGCAGAGTCAACAATTTATAAAGAAGTTTAGAGAATAAATGATATTCTAGATATTTGTATTATTATTTCGAGGTTTTTTCTCGATGTTTTTCAAAATTGATCTAGACCCAAGCATAAAACAATATTAAAATGTCTCTATAAATGAATAACGATGAGAAATAGCTGTTAAATTTAACTCTTTATCAATGACTCGGTCGATTGAAATAAAACAAGTGAAAGATTTATATTCAAAATGAAATCAATATAACCACCGACAATTGTTTATAAAACGAAACGACTTATTTCGCTCTCTCTCCTCATCTATAACATAGGATAGAATAATCAATTTCTAACAAATCAATCCCTATTATCATCTTAACATTATTATTTAAACAGTTTAACTTTATCATAAACCTATTGAACAATCAGCCTCGAAAACAATCAATTGTAAATCAATATGTCAGATAAGAGTTAAAATTGATCGATCCATTGTCTGTCTTCCAACGATCGATGTTATCATTCGTTGGTGATAGGTTAATGGGCACATTGTTTGATCTTATATTAACAGATGATATAACCTTCGAATAGATCTACATCAAATTTATAATTCATATCAAAAAGAATTTTAAATAAACCGTTATACGATTGAATATTAGTCTTTATCTTCATAATAAACAATCATCATAGAATAGATAAAAGATTTTATTTCGAATTTATAAACTAGTTGAAAATTATTCGATTTCAATAAATAATATTTAATATATATATTATGATCGAAAACACTTCATTCGAATATAAATAAGAATATCAGAATTAATCAACGTTAAATAAATAAATTTTTTTTTTATTATGATCATTTATATATTCATTATATAATTAGATAACATTTCACTCTATGAAAAAAAAAAACCTTAAGATTAATTTATTTTATCGATTAATCAAATGTAAATTATACTGAACGAATAGTTCTCTACCGATGTGTTAAGAATATTTTAAACGTTTATTTTCTCGTTTCGATAATAAAAACCAATATGACATTATAGAAAAACGAATACATTTTAATCAAAAACAAAAAAAAAAAACAGCAGAGTTTTCCTATTGTTAAATGTTGTTGGTTTATAAATCGAATCGTTGATTTGTACGATGATTTTTTTGATAAAATATTATTTGTTTGCGTTTTTGAATATGTTCATTTTTGTTGAATTGTATAGGACGTTGGTCCTAATCGGATTAAACTATATTCCCAATAAATAGGCTTAAATAAATATTTTTCTTAAAACGAAACAAATTATTATTTTAAATTAAACTTTTATATTGACATCAGTTAACGATCATTGTTTAGCCCTTATTTATTATTCGAAATCAAATTATAATCATCAACTCTCATACGACCTCTATCTATTTAATATATTATTCGACGTCTTTGTTTTTTCATCCGCTAGTTGAAATTCAATTGTTATTATGGCCTTGTCTACACTAGAAAATTTAATATCGAATTAAGAAACGTGATTGGTCGAAAAGTTAATACGCATTTAATACAGTTTTGAAAAGTGTATTAACTTAATGCACTTCTCAAAACCGTATTAAAGTTAATGCA